GCTTCGTTCCTTGATCAAATGTAGCGAGCGATGAGTAATAAAAGGAAGCAGAAGTCTTGTATGATTAATACCACCTAAATATATCAAATCTTTTTATAATGATTGCTGAAAATTTTCCCCCAAAAAAGTCATTCTGGGAAAAAAAAAATTATATTTTTAATGGCCAATCTATATATATATTTTTTTTCTGAATGAGTGCAGATGTCGGCAACCTATGGCACGAGTGCCAGACTTGGCACGCTGAGCGCTTGTCTATGGCACGTTATGTGATTCAGACGAGCAAAGAAAAAGTTAAACAGCGAGATAATATAGTGAGTATAAATATAAAATTATAAAACATATCTATTTTTTTGTTACAAAGAATAATAAATGCTACAAAAATATTACGTTTGTGTTATGCATGTGTAGGAAAATACATCTATAATATAACTATATATTAATATAACACTATAATATTTATAATATTAAATAGACAAATTACCACTAGTTTATTGGGTTTTTACGCACGAAAATGACTATTTTATCTTTATTTTTTAATAATGGTGTCTGTCATTCATATGTGAAGAAATCAACTTCGGCATCGGATCTCTCTCTCTCTCTCTCTCTCTCTCTCTCTCTCTCTCTCTCTCTCTCTCTCTCTCTCTCTCTCTCTCTCTCTCTCTTCTCTCTCTCTCTCTCTCTCTCGCACATTCCTTCAGAGGGGAGAGAGCTGGTTCCTCCCCCTCGTTCCGTCCTGCTCGAAGACGGAGGTTCCAGCCAGCGTGTCTTCTCTCTCCGAGTAAAACGTGTTGGGTCATGAAAGGCCAATCAGAGGCCGCACCGCGAATGAAACAGCTGATCGGATAATACTTTCCTCTCGCTCTTCTGTCCGGTCTCGGCCTTCGTAACGGCAGGAGTCTTACGTAATACCGAAGTTGTCGGGGCGGTTCCTGAGGCGAAGCCGTCGTCGCGTAGAGCTCAGGCCTCAGTTAATGAAATTCCTTTTCCTGTGCTGGCTCTCTCGCTCGTTGGTCTGGGTATAGATAAATGATAAATAAATAAATAAATATAAATAATATAAAATAAAGGTATAGATAATGGATACATATGTAATTGCATACATATATGTTGTAGAAATCCATCACATGTTGGATATAGAAATTCGTTTTAGGAGCTAACATCAGTTTCCGCTTGAAATATATTTATTATTTCATTTATTCATTGATAGGGGTGGGTTGTACGTTTCCGTGTATTTCCTTTGCCACACACACACACACACACACACACACACACACACACACAACACAGACACACACACACACACACAACACACACACACACACACACACACACACACACACACACACTCACACACACACACACACACACACACACACACACACACACACACACACACACACACACACACACACACACACACACACACACACACACACACAACACACAACACACAGCACCACTCACACTCACTTTACCTGTGGCTGTGATCGACCGCGTGCAACTCCTGCCGTGCTTGCTTCTAAGAGCGAATCCACAATCTTTATCTTATATAAACTCGACATTAGTGCCAGATTTTCAAAATTCATAATGGAAATGATCTACATTTACTTTACCTGTAATTATGGACGACTACAAAATTGTTTCTGGAAATTAATCGTTTTTTTCATTAAAATATTTTCCTCATTAATGCTGAAACATTGAAAAAAATATTAGACTAGAATCTAAATTTGCTTTAACTGTGATTATAATACAGTCTGTCACAAACTATGTATTATTTGTCTCAGGAATTTATCGATATATTTCTTTCATCAAAATAAACTCTTGATTAATACAAAAACACAGAAACACTTATAAATGTTTAAAAGATCTACACTTTTTAAACAAGAAAAGTAAAAGTCGAATCTTTTAATTGTTATTATTAGTATCAGCATTATCTTTATCATTCTTAAGTTAATGATAATGATGGTGATAATTATTATAATTTCGTTATAACCATCATATAATCCATTATTAAATTATAATTATTATATTATTACATTATTATCATCATCATTCTATTGAAGATAATACGATAATCATCATTATCTTATAATCCATTATCATTAATGTTATTGTTACTATTATCATCATTGTTATTATCATTATTATAGATATTATTATTATTGTTATTATTATTATCATTATTGTTTTTATCAATATTAGTATTATTGTCATCATCATTTCGATTATCACTATTAATATTATTATTATTGTTATCATTGTAATTGTTTTACCGTTATTTATTATTATTATTGTTATTCATTATTATATTATTAACCATTATATTACACTTATCATTATTATTATTATATCATTATTGTTATTGTTATCATCATTCATCAAATATTTATTCATCATTTTCGTTATTATATTGATTATTTTTATTAATGATCATTCTCGATTATTATTATCATTAATATCAGTATTTTTTAACCAAGTTATTCCTCGTCACGTTATCCAGGGACGCGGCCCCACAGTTCTACCAAAGACTCCTCACCTGAAGAGACACCTCACTGCCCTGTCCTTAGCTGTCCTACCTGAGGAAGGTCTACACTCTCCGTCACCCTGTATAACTTACCTGCCCCTCAAGGTCTACCTACTCATCCGTCACCCTGCTACTTACCTGCCCTGCCGAAGGAAGGTCTACACTCTCCGTCACCCTGATTATACTTACCTGCCCTGCCCTGAGGAGGTCTTTACACTCTCCCGCATATACTTACCTGCCTGCCCTTGAGCGAAAAGTCTACACTCTCGTCACCCTGTTATACTTACCTGCCCTGCCCTGAGGAAAGGTCTACACTCTCCGTCACCCTGTATACTTATGCCTGCTGAGGAAGGCTCTACACTCTCCGTCACCTCTATATCTTACCTGCCCCTGCCCTGAGGAAGGTCACACTCCCCGTCACCCTGTATACTTACCTGTCCTGCCCTAGGAAGGTCGTACACTCTCCGTCACCTGTATTACCTTACCGCCTGCCCTGAGGAGGGCATTTACACTCTCCGTCACCCTGTATACTTACCTGTCCTACCCTTGAGCAAAGGTCTACACTCTCTGTCACCCTGCGTTATACTTACCTGTCCTACCCTGAGACAGGTCTACCACTCCTCCGCTACCCTGTATACTACCTGCCCTGCCCGAGGAAAAAGGTCTACACTCTCCGTCACCCTGTTGTATACTTACCTGCCCTGCCCTGAGGAAGGTCTTAACACTCTCCGTCACCCTGCCATACTTACCTGCCCTGCCCTGAGGAAGGTCTACACTCTCCGTTCACCTGTATACTTACCTGCCAGCCTCCTGAGGAAGGTCTTACCTCTCCGTCACCCTGCATACTTACCTGCCCTGCCCTGAGGAAGTCTACACTCTCCGTCACCCTGATATACTTACCTGCCCTGCCCTGAGGAAGGTACACTCTCCGTCACCCTGTATACTTTACCCCTGCCCTGAGGAAGTCTACACTCTCCGTCACCCCTGATATACTTACCTGCCCTGCCCTGAGGAAGGTCTACACTCTCCCGTCACCCTCTATACTTACCTGCCCTGCCACTGAAGGTCTACACTCTCCGTCACCCTGTATACTTACCTGTCCTGCCCCTGAGGAAGGTCTACAACTCTCCGTCACCCTGTATACTTACCTGCCTGCCCTGAGGAAGGTTTACACTCTCCGTCACCCTGTATACTTACCCTGTCCTACCCCTGAGAGAAGGTCTACACCTCTGGTTCACCCTGTATACTATACCTGTCCACCCTGAGGAAGGTCACCACTCTTCTGTCACCCTGCCTATACTTACCCTGCCTCCGCCCTGAGGAAGGTCTACACTCTCCGTCACCCTGTATACTTACCTGCCCTGCCCTGAGGAAGGTCTACACTCTCCGTCACCCTGCGATACTTAAACCTGCCCTGCCCTGAGAAGGTCTACACTCTCCCCGGGGTTTCACCCTGCTATACGGTACCTGCCCTGCCCTGAGGAGGTCTACCTCTCCGTCACCCTGCCATATCTTACCTGCCCTGCCTGAGGAGGTACTACACTCTTCCGTCACCCTGTTATACACCTGCCCTGCCCTGAGAAGGTCTTTACACTCTCCGCCAACCCTGCATACTTACCTGCCCTGCCCTGAGGAAGTTCTACCTCTCCGTCACCCTGTATACTTACCTGCCCTGCCCTGAGGAAGGTCTACACTCTCCTCACCCTGCATACTTTACCTGCCCTTTGCCCTGAGGGAAGTCGTACACCTCGTTCAAACCTGCCTATACTTTACCTGCCCCTGCCTGAGGAAAGGGTTCTACACTCTCCTCACCCTGTATACTTACCTGCCCTAGCCCTGAGGAAGCGATCTACACTCTCCGTCACCCTGCATATTACTTACTGCCCTGCCCTGAGGAAGGTTACCACTCTCCGTCACCCTGCATACTACCTGCCCTGCCCTGAGGAAAGGTCTACAACTCTCCCGTCACCCCTGGTATACTTACCCGCCCTGAGGAAGGTCTCACTCTCCGTACCCTGTATACTTACCTGCCCTACCTGAGGAGGGTCTACACTCTCCGTCACCCTGATACTTTACCATGCCCTGCCCTGAGGAGAGGTCTACACTCTCCGTCACCCTGCACTACACCCTGCCCTGCCTGAGAAGGTCTACCCAGCTCTCCGTCACCCTGCGTCGCTCTTATCACTTACTGTCTACACTGACGAAGGTCTACACTTCTCTGTCAACCCTGCTATACTTACTGCCCTGCCACTGAGGAAGGTCACACTCTCCGTCACCCTGTATACTTACCTGCCCTGCCCTGAGGAAGGTCTACACTCCTCCGTCACCCCCGTATTAACTTACCGCCCTCCCTGGGAGGAAGGTCTCACACTCTCCGCTCACCCAGTGATACTTACCTGCCCTGCCCTGAGGGAAGGTCTACACTCTCTGTCACCCTGTTTATACCTTACCTGTCCTTGGCCCTGAGGAACGTCTACACTCTCCGCTCACCCTGCTGGTCATACTTACCTGGCCCCTGCCTCTGAGGAAGGTCTTACACTTTCTTCCCGTCCACACCCTCGTATACTTAGCCTTGCTTCCGCCGCCTGTACGGAAGGTCTGTATCCACTGCTCCCGTCACCTGCTGCGCTTTATACTTACCTGTCCCTGCCCGTGAGGCGAAAGTCTACACTTCTTTCCGTCACCCTCTATACTTACCTGCCCTGCCCTGCAGGGAAGGGCTCTACACTACTCCGTCACGCCTGCGCTTATACTTACCTGCCTGCCCTGGAGCGAAGGTTCTACACTTGCTCCGTCACCCGGTATACTTACTGTCCTGCCCTGGGCAAGGTCTACACTCGGTCGTCACCCTGTTATCACTTACCTGTCCGGCCCTGATGAAGGTCTACACTCTTCCTTCTCACCCTGTTATACTTACCTGCCCTGCCTGAGGAAGGACTTACCACTCTCCGTCACCCCTGCTATCTCTTACTGCCCTGCCCTGAGAAGGTCTACACTCTCCGTCACCCCTGCTTAACTTCTTGCCCCTGCCCTGCGAGGAAGTTAACCTACCATCTCTCCCCTCGTCCACCCTGTTCCTATATTACCGACCCTGCCCCTGAGAAAGGTCTACACTCTCCGTCACCCTGATCACTTTACCTGCCCCTGCCCCTGCTACAGGAAGTGTCTCTTCACACTCCTCTGTCACTTCACTCTTACCCTTTTCGTCAGTCTCGTTGGCATCACTCTCCGTCGCAATCCCTGAGTCCCCAGCCTCGTCACTCTGCTTCCTCCCTAGCGATCTCGGTGCTGCGTTCCACACAGCTGACTGTTCCCCTTATGCCTCCCTGTACCCAGAAAGACTTCTCTGTCTGTTTTATCCATACTCCCCTCTTCTACTTACTTTATCGTAATATTTCGCTATCTACTCATCTATCTTAAATTGACATTAAACTATTATCTGTCACTTTTAACTACTCTGTTTTTCCCTTTCTCCTCTTATCCATTAGCCCCCAAAAAATTCGCCCCTTCTTGCGTAACTTACTCCTATAATTAATCAATTCATTCCTTAAATCTTAATATCCCATTGTCTAATCTCTTACTATGTCGTGCACTTCTCCTCTCTCTCTACTCTCTCTAACTGCTGTTCTCTTCTTCTGTTGCTGCGTGTGTCTCTCTCGCCTCTGTCGTTCTGCTGTCGTGCTCGCTGCGATCTCGTCTCCCCCCTTACTGGCTTCCATCGCCGCGCAGTGAGAAAAAAATCCACACGAAAGTGGACTTGAAGCGGTAATGTATACGAATGAGAGTGCATTGTGTGATGTGTCGGCGTTGATGTGTTGTGTGTGGAATGTGTGTTGTGTGTGTATGACAGGGGATGGCCCCGCCAGGCGCGGGGGTGTGACAAGAGAACATCAACGAGATAACATGAGCAAACCCAACCGTGATCTAACTGGAAGGTGGTAGAATGAATAATCAAATATATTGGTCCAGAGGCCGAAAACGTGAGTGTGGGTAAACTTCTGAAACAACGAGATATCTCTTGCGATAAAGAACGCCCACAGACCGTATGATAGAGAACTCGTGCACATACATGTATCCTGAGTCCGTAATCCGTTATCATCATTTAGTCCCTTAGCCCGCTGTATGTATTCGTACGTTCTATGATGCTATCTGTACTGGTGTGAGTGTAGGCACTGTCGCGAATGTGCCTGGAAATGTACGCGTGAGCTGCGTACGAGCCGACCCTGCGATGATGTAAGTGGCTTCATGGGACGACTGCGGGCCAATGGACCCTATGCGACGCGGCGCGGCGGTAGGAGCAATAGCAGAATGCGCGACCGCATGAGGGAAGCCACCGCAGAAAAATGGCAACGCAGGCAGAATAGGATGTAGGAGAGTAAGATGGATAGAGATGTAGAAGTAAATGTAAGAGTAGGTAGAGGTGTGTATGTATATATAGTGAGGGATGGGAAGGAAGGATGAGGAGGTGAGAGATGGATGTTGGTGAGAGATAATGTAGTGATATGTGATGTATAGCATGTAAGATGTAATGAGATGTATGTATGTATGTATGTATGGGATATTGTAAATGTATGATATGTATGTAGATGTGTGTATGTATGTATGTAGTGTGTTGCAGATGATATATGTAGTTTATATAAAATATGTAGTTACTATCCCGTATGTTTTACTAACAACACAAACACAACAGGAAAAGAAAGAAATTCAAAAGAATAAGCTACGTATGCGACTAATACAGAGCCTAAAGAAAGAAACGGACCGTAATATGCTAAGACGCCGACCAGAAAATGCAACCCAGAAGAAGACACTACCGACACGAATGCAACTGAAGAAGGAGACAAGTCGCCGACTCCCACTCCAGCAGACAGCCAATGCGCTGAAAAACCGCGAGCGGCACGCATCCAGATCACGCGACGCACAGAAACAACTGGCAAGCAGAAACGAAATGACCGCGCACGAAGTAGGTACACAAAAGACCATTTCAACCATGCAGGTATCTCAAAAAATTGGCACGGCGGGAATGATAATGATGAGCCAGAGAAATCAACGTCCGGATGCTTGCCAGACTGCCATAGCACCAGGGAAAAGTAGCAAGCACGGATCCCGGGTGTGTGTGTGTATATTAATATAATAAATAAGTAAGTAATAAATATAATAATAGTAGTAGTGAAAAGAGAAGGATAAAAGGTAATAATAAGCAAACGTCAAATAATATAAATGTAAATGGAAGAGGGTAGTGAGGATAAGATATAATATAAAGGCAGTAACTATTACATAGCAGACAATTAATAATAGAGATAAATGAATGAATAAAATGAAAATAGATATACATATGCAAACAGCGAGAGAGAAGAGAAAAGAAAAGAGAAGAGAGGAACGAAAGATAGAGAAGAAGAGATGAAAGAAGAGATGAAGGGAAGAAAGAGAGGAGAAGAAGGAGGACCACCGGATCCCGTCTACCCATAGCACGATGACCTGACCGCGATCTTACAAGACACCGAACAAAGCGATAAAAGTAGATCGGTCCTGTGCTCGCTTTAAATTTAAATATACATGCTATTATTTCTATTTAGTCATCAAGAAAAACAACTTATGCCACGCACTACAGGCAGCACACACCATCCAGACACATAGGCCAGCAAACGCTGAGATGTTAATGTGCTATTTTTATTAATTTTAATCTCTCCATTGCTTTCTTAAAAGGTTATTGTGAATCTACTCTCATCATCTGCTAGGAAAAATACATCAAACGCACAAAAAACCCGAATGATGTGTATTGAAAAGCAAGTGAATCGGACTGAGTGACTATCGAAAAGTCCGTACTTCGTTTCCAATATCGTTTGGTTATCTTATGTTTTATCTGGTTTTTTTTTTAACCAGCAAGTAGAGTATAAACAGGTATTAAGACGTGTTTTTTCCCCAATGATGCAATTACTCTTTGACGTAACTAATGTCCTACCAACGTTCCCCGAGAGAAGCCACCACCAACCTGGAACTCCACCGTGGGTAGTACAACAGAAGCGTATCTATCACGAAGTGTGAAGGCCAGCCGCCGAAAGGGTAGACGAAGAAACGAGTCTGCGAAGCGGAACATCAAATTAGCGACATTCATCATGGATCACACCTCATTTCACCATGCCGTCTTTACCATCTCTACTCTTAAGCGACGAACTATACACACACGCACCTATCATCTACAACACACACAATCAACTACAATGCACCACACGACACTCTCGTGCCGCGTGATTTGATCGGCTCGTTAAAGCTTTATCAATACATGGTTGGGTGATTTGAAAATCTGCGTGCTCATCCGTGTCGGCTGTGGTAGATCAAGAAAATCATCCGACGCGCGCGTTTCTTCGACAGGTCCTTAAGCCTTCGAGAGACGGGTACGAAATGAAACAACATTATTAATTCAGTTTCCCGCTTTGTCCGTTCTCACACCACGACGTACATCCCGACACAACTTTTCGAGACAGCGACTCACACGAGCAACCATCGCCAGAACACCACGAGACGAAAAGCCACCGCCACACAAAAGCACAGCCCTATAAGCTCAAAGTCCAAAAATCTCTACTCTCTATCTCGTGCTACGCAAGTCGCTTCTTCTCGCTTCTATCGGCCTGCCTCTCCGTCTGCTCTGCTCTCTCTCTTCTCGTCTCTACCTCTATCTCTACCTTCCAGTCGGGTCGTCACTCTCCGTTCGTACTCATAACTACTACTCACTCACTCAGTTCCCTCTACACACACTACTCTCCCATCTGGTCTCTCTCTCATCCCTCTTTCCTCTCTGCTCGCCAGGTCTACGACACCCTATCCTCTCTCTCGCCCTATCGACCTGATGTATGTGTGTGTGTGTGTTGTGTCCGCGTGTGTTTACGTGTGAGCTGTGTGTGTACGTGTAGTGTGACTAAGCTGTTCGATGTGTGCCTGTGTGTGCGTTGAGACGTGTTGAGTACTGATGTGGGCCGATCTGTGCAAGGTATGCGTTCGCGGGCTACTCATGTGTCACTGTTGATCGCAATAATCACCGTGATGCGCGGGCGATCAATGTACGAACTCTCATACGACCCTAGATCGTGCGTAATTACAGACCTCGTTCCATCGCGTAATTATGGAAATACTAATTGGCCTCATTACTCACTGCAACGGAACGGTCTGCTTCGCTTTGACTGCCATGTCCATCACTGTGGTCCTTGGTATTGTCAATAATACCTTTTGTAATTCAGGAAATCAACACAGACAATAAATAAAGCTTCTGGAGAGGGTAGAGGCGATAATTACAAGCAGAAAGCACGAAAGGATGTCCTTATGTAACTGACGCCAGGGAGATGGCAGCGTATGACGTCACAGAGGACATGCGCCATCAGGTAGGGCTTAGAGTATTCAATTATAAATAATAGTGAATAATCAAACCTTTCAGATTGCATTACATAGAATTACGCCCAAAATTGCTTACGTAACCCTCTTAATTCCATGAGAGGGAAGAGAAGTAGGATAATCTCATGGAGCCTTGTCATACTTCGCATCAAAGTCTTGTCTTGATCACGTGACCCTTCGACCCATCAGCTATACTTTATAAGCTGCGATGCAAGGCCTCCCCGGAGAATTCCACACTCGCGCCCTCGAGTCACCACCACCACACACACACCAGCCGCACACCACACCACACACACACCCCATCCACACACACACAGTCACACAGTCACTAGCGCCCGCCATATTGAATAACTTGGTATTTACAGTTACCAATAGACTAAAGTTAACGCAGCGTGGATTTTTTAATTAATCTACACCCATTTAAACAAGTCGTTCCTTCCTGCCTGCTGAAGGCGTTTATATTAGCAAGCTTCAGTAGGAGAACAATAAAGAGAAAAGTAAAAAAAGAATAATGATTCTTGTTTTATATGCGTTAAAATAATTCTAAGGACGGTCCACATCCATCACCGGTGGCGGTGAGCATGCTGGAATTATAGGAGAAAAAACAAATAAACTTTATCCGAATAATCATAT